TCTAACTCCCCCTCCTCCTATCCCTCTAACCCCCTCTCCCCCTCCTATCCTTTCAACACCCTTCCTTCTATCTCCCAAAACACCCCTCTCCCCTCCCCTATCCATCTAACCCCTCTCTCCCCCCCATCCCTCTAACCCCCTCTCCTCCATCCTATCCTTCCAACACCCCCTCCTCCCATCCCTCTAAACCTCCCCTCTCCCCCCATCCCTCTAACCACCTCTCCTCCTCCATCCTTCTAACCCCTCCTCCCATCCCCTCTAACCCCCTCCCTCCCATCCCTCTACCCCCCCTGCCCCGCCCTCCGTCTATGAAACTTACATTACTTCCTGTTTGGGATTTTTTTGTGTTTGTTTTGTTGTCGTGTTTCTCTTCGGGCTCGTCGTTTTTAATTTTCTATGTATTAGTCATTTAGTATATGCTTTATGAGTATGTTTGGTTATGTATACATATCTCTTTCTCTCTCTCTCTCTCTCTCTCTTCTCTCTTCTCTCTCTCTCTCTCCTCTCTCTCTCTCTCTCTCTCTCTCTCTCTCTCTCTCTCTCTCTCTCTCTCTCTCTCTCCTCTCTCTCTCTCTCTCTCGCTCTCGCTCTCCCTCTCTCTCTCTCTCTCTCTCTCTCTCTCTTCTCTCTCTCCTTCTCTCTCTCTCTCTCTCTTCTCTCTCTCTCTCTCTCTCTCTCTCTCTCTCTCTTCTCTCTCTCTCTCTCTCTCTCTCTCTCTCTCTCTCTCTCTCTCTCTCTCTCTCTCCCTCTCCCTCTCTCTTCCAGTCTGCCTCTCTCTCTTTTTCTTTCTCTCTCTCCCACTCCTTCTCTCATCTTATTTTTCTCCTCTCCTTGCTCATTATAAGTACTTCCCCCAAGCACCTCCGCCCCTCCTCCGCATCCTCTTCAACGCCTCCTTCCTCCTCCCCTTCCTACCCTCCCTACACACCCCTCCCCTTCCCCTCAGCATCTACCTCCCCCATGCCCCCCTTCACCCGCTCTTCCTCCTCTCCTACTCCTCCTCCCCGTCCTTACAGCGTCTCCCCCCCCCAGGACTCACTCACTAACCCCCCTCCCCCCAGAAGAGGGCCGTGGCAGCAAGCGGAGCCTGAGGTCGCCGCCCGTCCAGCGCCAGCGGTGTGTGCAGCTGGAGGGGGGCGAAGGCGACGACGACGGGGCGGGGGTGCCAGGCCGGTCTCCCCGCCCTCTCCCCTCGTCGGCCGAGCACAGAGACGTCGTCCTAGAGGTGGGCGCGAGTCGACTTAAGGTGTTTTGTTTGTTTTGTTCGTTGAGACTAGTCGATGGCTTGTTTAATGCTAGCTAGAGTTGGAACGCATTGTGAAATATGTCGCTCCCGCTGGCCTGGCCTAACCGCGCTCGTTGCAGGTTGACCCCATCCGAGTGACTACCGAGACGCCCTCGCCGGAGGTGCCCGTCGTGGTGGTGGCGACGGCCGAGGGCGGCACGCGCACGCAGGCCCTCTACCGCCACCGCGGCCGGCCCGCCCAGCCCTCCTCCTACAGCCACAGTGCCTCCGCCGGAGACCCGCTCCCGAGAACACACACATATCACAAGTACGGCAGCGCCAGCTTCGACCTCGCGAGGCCCAGCGGCTACGAGAAGGCGCGCGCGGCCTTCCACACGAGTCGCAGCAGCTTCGAGGGCGACCGGCGGCTGTCCCTGAGCGCCCGAGGGGCATGTGAGAGCTTCGACAAGGGCGTGGGCTCGGGCAGGCACTTGCCATCCATGGAAACGGCGTCCAGGCCGTGCAGCAGCGGCAACGCCAGCGAGCGGACGCTGCCGGAGGGCCCGCCGCGGGGAGGCTTCCGCCGCAGCCGCAGCGAGAGGGTGGGCGGCGGCTCCTCGTCGGGCTCGTCGCCGGCGCGCAGCGAGTCGCTCCGCGTGGCCAGGACGCGGCCGCGCCTCCAGGACGTCGAGATGGCCGAGATCTGCGCGCCCCGCAGGATGCACTACGACGAGTATAGGTAATGGCCCGGAAGGACCTCCCCCTCCCCCCCCGGCCTCCCCTCCCGCCTCTCTCGGGTCCTCAGGCGGTTTATTTAAGTTAATAGGGAGGGGGTGTACGGCTGTATAGATGCGGGGATGGATAGGAAGGGGAGAAGGGCGGGAAGAAGGAAAGATAAGGAGAGGCGGAAGAGAGAGTAAGAGGGAGAGGAGGGAGAAGAGAAGTTGGAGAGGAAGAAGAGAGTTGGAGAGGAAAAGAGGGAGGGGGAGGAGAGGGAGAGGAGGATGAAGAGCGAGATGGAGAGAGAGGGGGGGGATGGAGATGGTAGAGTAAGCGGAGAGGGAGGAGAATAGGAGAAGAGGAATGGGAACGGGAAGAGGGAGACAGAGCTAGAGACCGAAATAGAAACAGAGAGAAAGACAGAACGGGAAGGCAGTCCCAGAATATATCTATGTGCCCATTCCTATGTAATATATACACACCATACGCGCTTATATTAATACGTAAGACTCCTTTGCAACCACTATGCGCGCCAATCCATTTACGTCATGACCG